GATGTGAAAATGATTTTAATTGGACGAGCAGCATTGTCGCTACGAGTTTTACCAAGACGAACAAGTTTCGTATTCAAAGGAATAGTATTCCCGAGAGATTCGAGGATATCAATTATAGACTGCCTGTCCTGAGCAATACGTTGTGGAATGTCCGCGGAAGCAGATTCCGGAACACCATAGGCAATAAGATTGTGGCGACATCTATCACGTTCAAAAGTTTCCTGCAGTACTTGCCCAACAACCGACTGTGGTTGTACAGTAAGACGGGAAGACTCAAGACTAGATACTTTGATACTTAGATATTATAAGGAGAATATTATTAATGCTGTAAATTTTATTAATTATATTTATTGGTTATATAATATTATTGTGTGTTAAAATTTAATTATTTTTTATGAATACCGATGGACGAACTGGTACGTCTCCGTTAGAATTAGCTACTCTGACAAAAAAAAAGGGAACTCTATTGATAAAAATTTAAAATAAGATAGTCTAAAAAGGGAAAATAGAATTGAAATTATAGAAAAATAATTAAATTAATTAAAATGTCTCAACCACAGTTACCAAATAAATACGCGAAGTAAAAATAAAACTGAACACACACAGTAAACTTTCGAGTCAAAACCCAAAAATAAAATATAACAACCAACAACTGAAATCACTCTACGTCTAAAGGAGGATTTAAATTAATTTCCACGTGTTCGTGGGAAATAGACGTTTATCAATTTATAAACGCATGTGATATTACGGTAAATTCCGTAGATAGAGAAAATGTACCACATTTAATACGATATATAACTACTAAATTATCGGGAAAAGCATTGGATGTAATAAAATATAAAGATACTACTAAGTGGGCAAACATAAAAAAATATTTAAGCAAGGCATTCGAATCACAACACTCAGCATCTTCAGGTCCGTTACCCTGGTACCACCAAATTGTATGTACTACTCCAAAATTATCCTATCGATTGTTATTTCATTTTTACAGATTTTTAATCGTCATTTGAATATTTGTACACCTCCCAAAATCTGGAAAAATCAACTTTTCCGTGACGGCATAATTTCTATAGATATTTTAACAGTAAAGTTTTGAAATTATATGTCAATGATAACACGACGATATATGGTATAGGATAGATATTATGACGGCCATGTCATTATATTATATTCCAGTTGTCGGAGCGACAGCATTATAAATAGAGTGATTATACGTCCCAATCGTCCCGTATGCAGTGGCGGATTATGGGGCAGGCTAAAAGGCTTATAGCTTAGGGCGACTTTTTTGGGAGGATAGATTTTTTTTTTTTATAGAATTAAGTGTTACTATTGACTAATTAGGTATATTTATTGTAATACATTTTTTTTTTTATATTTGTCATATAAATGCGAATAAAAATAATTTTAAAAAGTTATAATAATATATTAATATATACATTGTATGATCCATACCTATAGGCTATAGTAAAAATATTACAATTATTATTGCAATTTGAAAATATTTCATTTGTAATAAAATAATGACAGTTACTTACTAGTTATTATTAATAACTTATTAGTACCTATGTATTTGTTGGGAACATCCGACTATCCGAGTATTGGTATTTTCATATCTCGCTATTTATATTTCCGTTATGTAACTGTATAAGCATTGTTTATTTGTACTGGTAATAATGGTATCTGAAGTAAAATAATAGACATGAAATATTTTATTTTTAGAAGTTTTCTATTTTAAAGATTTTATATTATATATATATATATTTTTTTTTTTGATAAAAAAACTAAATAGAGTTTGAAGAGAAGGGTTTAGACCAAATATTGTTGGTTCCTCAGTAGAGTGATAGGGGGGGGGGGCAGAGTGATTAAGCCTAGGGGCATCAAAACGCTAAATCCGCCACTGCCCGTATGTCGAGATTATACAAGATTGCCCCGTATTTCAACTTTGTGTCCCATTGTCCCGACAAAGGACGCATTTTGTACTGATTTTTCAAGTCCATCTCGTATTAATCTCGTTTTCCCATACTGTTAATTTATAACTTTTTGAAAATTTATTTTATAAAAAAAATCGTTATTTCTATGATATTGTATGACAATATTCATTGATATAATCGAATCTATACTTTTCAGTGATATTTTTTGATTCTTGTTTCGACTAAAAAACAAATAATGGTATATCACTGTCGCAATGTGACAATGTGAAGCAGTACGTACATATTATTATTATTATACTTGTGGTGACAATCCCACCCACTGCAGACAATTTGTTATCAAATGCGTGTATGATGATTACTATTATTTCTAATTATTTTTTATAATATCCACAATATGATATCAATAATCGATGTAAAATTATTTTCGGATTTTATTAACATTAATGTGTTGTGGACAGATAAACAAATTTCATTTTTTGGTAGAAACTATCAAATCAACTATTTCTGTGTAAAAAAAAATTAAAAACCCATTATTGTAATGAATTTTATTGTATTTAGATATTTTGTTAAAAGAAATTAAGTGACTAGATGCAATAAGTTCAACACAAATGAACACAAAAATAACAAAATTCATTTTTTTGTATTTTTGTGTACAAATTAATATTGTAAAACAACAGACATCTAATTTGTTTTTTATATTATTATATTTGGTTAAGTAACTAAAGTGTCCCATATTTATATATAATTTTATGGTCACCATAATCATAAATGATTAGAATAAATGTATGTATGTTTGTAATATATTATGTAGGTATAATGATATATATAGTGTTTATGCTGGTGTATAGGTTTAGATATTTTTGATGACAGAAAATTTTGATCGTATTTTACGAATTTCATCGGGAAGTCACAGGCTATGTCAATAGTGGCCTTCTGGAATTCCCGAATGCTGTCGGATAATACAGCTTAAATACAGTTAGTACTATATTTAATAATATAAATAGTTTATGCTAAAAACTAATATACATTTATAACTGGACTGAGAAAGTGTCGTCATTATACCGTTTCATCAAGAATTGAATGGTTGTAACGTGTATAATATACATGTTACAACCATTCAATTCTAACAATATTTTATTCAAACAATAAAAATATATACACTGTATATATTTTTATTGTTTGACAAAATCAAAATAATTTAGAATTTAGAATTTTTAATTTATAAAATTTAATGCTTAAAAATAAATTAAATTTTTCTAAAGTTTTTTTTTTTTAATAAATACTTTCAATTTTGCATTTTCCCCTCCTTAAAAAACTAACTAGATTTACTTTGTTATCAAAAATCATTTTTAAACATTAAAAACCATAGATATATTTCTACTATGAACCGTGTACACAGACAAACCCTTAAAATAAAACAAACATAATTGTAGAATTAATACTTTTATTGCTCTACTCGAAATTGATAAAAGTTCAGAAAAATATATTAACCTGGCATTCATTGCTGGAATTGCGCAGGTCTATACAAATTATACCGCTACGGAAAAATAGATTTTCCCGAGTTTTGGGAGGTGTACAAATGTTCAAATGACGATTAAAAATCTGTACAAATTAAATAATAATCGATAAGATAATTTTGGAGTTATATATACTATTTGGTGGTATTGAGGTAAGGACCTAGCATTTTCCTTGCAATTGTAAATTAACTCCATAAAAATGAATTTTGAGGAAATGGTAAACTCTTATACAGAAAGAATAGAACAATTATATTATAAATGTTGTAATATTTATACGCTTGATAAAAGTAGAGACGAAGCTAAAATTATTCAAATTTAATTAAAAGAACGAACATTAAGATTATATATAAAAGGATTAATAAAACCAATAAAAGTCGTAGTAAAATCAAGATATCCTAAAACATTAGAAGAAGCCAAAAATATAGCTAATACGGAAGAGTTAGAATTCAACACGGGAAAAGGAAAAGCGAAATTTATTAAATACTAATTACCGTAATAATTATAATAACGGAAATAATAATCAATCTCAATAAAATAATCGTTAAGAAATAATTTTAATAATAATTTTAGTAAAAAACCTATTCGATATTATAAATGCAATGAATAGCACTTTGCTAATCAATGCAGATCGCAACCAAACTAAACGTTCAAATCAAAGAATATCGAATAATAATTATAACAATCGATCACCTTCTAATAATCGGAATAACAGTAATTTTAATCGTCCAAATAACTATCATTCAAATAATTACACACGACCAACAACTAATTATAATACGAATAACTATATTACGCGAAATATAACATGCAGCTATTGCAATAAAACGGTGCACAAAATGTCAAAGTGTTATAAGAAACGAAATAACGTACGTAACAATTTTAACTCGGGAAACGGTCGTTCAAACGAGGCGCGCGGATCTCGTACCGTCAATCAAATAACAACCGCGGAGGAAACATAGGAAGATGCTTCCAGATCAAATCAACAATAATTAAAAATCACATAAAATTTACATCAACAGCCGCTAAATTTAAAGAACTAGAATTTTTATTACACACAGGTAGCGATATTAATATTAAAAAAAATTATTGTTTAATAATTATTATTAAAAGGGAGATTGAATCGAAGATAAAACAAAAAAAAAACTATTTTTTTTTTTTTTTTTTAAGAACTCTCAGTACAAACTATTATAGTTAAATAATTACAGATAATTACAGATTGATACATGATATTATATATAGCTCAACAATTAGATAGCAAAATATTTAAATGTAACAATAAAAACAACAGAAGAACTACATATACTGTTGCTACAAATAATAATAATAATAATATGAAATTAATGAACAAAATAATCTAAAATAATAATAATTATTAAGGAGTAGATAAGATTAAATTTAAATTGTTTAAAACAGTCATTAATGACTTAATTAATAGAAACAAAATATTTGAGATTTCACTAATACGTTTATTTAAATCAACATATAAAACATATACAACATATATACATATCAACATATAAATCAAAACATAATTCGGCTGGTGGTTGATTGGTTGTGGTATCGGCGTAGGTACGAGTTTTGTTAGAACTGCAGGGGTTCTCAGACTGCATGGGTTTAGTAGGCCTAGAAAAGGAGGTTGAAAGTCTTCTCTCTTTTTGTTGCTTTAGGAAAGAAGCGGCGTTTTTTTTTGTAGACTGGGCATCCTTTATACGAAGAGGTATGAGCACCTGGGCAAAGTGCGCATTTAGCCGGTGGACTGTTATCTTTGGAACACTTGTTGGAGAGATATTCTTCTCCACATTTGACGCAGCGAGGTTAGTGTGAACAATATGTTTTCATGTGACCGCAAGCCTGACATTTATGGCATTGAGGTGGACCGATTTTGGATTTATGTGGTTTTTCGACCACGACGGAGGTATGCAATAACCTAGTAGTTTTGACGATACTTTTTAATAAACTCTTATCCGTTATCTATTAATTGGATTTTTTTTTTTTTAAGATTAAAATCAAAATAACATATTTTACTAAACATAAATATACAGATTCAATATTAAGTAAAAAAAATTATATAAAAGACTCTGCCTATTCGGAGAAATTTAGTATTGAATTTGAAATATTCATTTGAATAAAAAAAAAAAAAAAATTCTCAAAATTAAATGTAACATAATATTCTAGTCGTAAACAGAGATGTTTGTTATTATTTATTTACGTCTTTAGTAATTACTCGTCTATACCTACGTGGAATAAATTAAGTTTTAACAATGAAACATATAACTGTAAAACGTAATTTTGAACAAAAATACACTCCCTATCCGCGTGGAAAAGTTGTGAAATATTAAATTGATCAACGAAAACAAATAATAACGAGTAAACTTACCTCCACAATAAATAAAACACACCCATTCTTAATCATACACTTGCGTTGCGTACTTTTCTGCATACAATTCTGTATTGCTATGTAATTCTGATGTAATTCTGTTGTTATAAACTGCACTCAATTGTTTTTCTGAAAATGTTCTAAATAAATTAAGCTGTTTGGTCAATTATGAATGTTTAAAAGATAAAAATCTTTAACCATTAATTTTGTAAATGTATTGCCATACTTGTAATAAAATTACAAAATATTATCATAAAACACGGGATCAGTATAAAAATGTTAATTAATTAGAAAATGATCATACCAATTTTGTTATTCTAGTTATAATTATATTATTTTTTTTTCATTGTGAAATTATTTTTCAAATTTTATACACATATTTGCAGTTTGAAAATTAACATTCTATATGTAAGTTAGATTCGGTATTTAAATACCATTTGTTAGCATAATCTTCAAACATTTAAAACGAAGTCAAATGAAGACATTTTATATTCGTAATCAGTACTTATTAACTGTGGTTGAAAATTAAATCGATTATTATAATATAAATATTTTTTGGGGGATGAGTAGGTATAGATAGAATATACTTGCTTCTGAAAATTGTTGATTTCACTACGTCACTGTGATGATTAATAATCTACATATTATACTAATAGGTAGGACCATCCCGAAAGTGAGGCACTAGCCTACGTGATATTAAATCTACAGGATCATTAAAATGGATTCGTTATAAACACATTAATGATTGGGTTTATTGAAAACCAGACAATATTTCATACGATAGTTCATTCATCGAAATACACTATCAGACAAAAATATACAAATGAAATAGCTAGTGTACACTATGTGAACTATTAATATTTGTACGTTTTTTTTTTTTTTTTTGTGGTGGACGCATAATGCTGCGTACAAACTAACAACATGGTCGTTGCAGAGTGGCTTAGTATTATAACCGTTCAGAAGAAAAGTTAAGTTTATAAAAAAAAAAATGCAGAATTGGTCGGTTTATTCGAAATCGAGTAACCGTCGGACGCAATTACACACTACATGTACATAAAATTTTTATTTATTTATTTTTTTATATTTATTTCAGAATTTTAGGAAAATTTACTACAATTCAACAAATAAACATTAAATTTACACAATAAATTTTATAATAAGTGATAGATAAGTAATAAAAACATAATAATAATAGTAGAAAAAATAATAGATAGAGACGAAAAATAAGAGAATGAAATGCTATTACTGAAAATAACAAACAAAAATAATTGGAGAGGATCAATGCTATAAATTAAGGCTTTGCACCCAAATAACTTTTTGGTTTTCGGGTGTTGAATGCATTCGGGTATTCAAACACCGCAATGCAATATTTAAACAAACGTTTGGGTGTTAATAACCGTTATTATTCAAGTTAATATTGGTTAATAAGGGTGTTAAGTAGTCAAGGAAAAATATTATTTTTTATTGGTGGAGGGTGGTGGGAAAGCTGAGCCCCCCCCCCACTAATGAAATATTTATATTTTTTGTTACCTGCCTATGTAATAAAATATAAATTTCTTATACATTTCTGCAACAGTTTTTTAGACTAAAATATCATTATGTTAATTTCAAACAATGGTGTAACTACTGCTACTAACTAGGGAAGAGGGAGTTATTTTACATGTGTATGAAGCTTATAAATTATAATATCTATTAAAATTTAAAATCAAACACTATGTTCTACTTCTAATTAGTGCGGGAATATTACATTCGAAAAAAAAAAAAACTATTTTGTATTCTGCGTTTGTGTTTGTGGCATTGGCGGAAATCGGGGGGGGGGGCTTGAGGGGACTAAGCCCCCAGAAATATAAAGTACAGGTCTTAGCCCCCATAGCTCAAAAATTTTTTATGTGACTAAAATACAATAGTTAGTATAATTGTAAAATGCATTTTTAATAACTGAATTAAAAAAAAAAATATTCTGTGATAAAAATTAAATCAAATTCGTAAGATTTTACAAACTTCTTGTCATGACTTGAAACGATCTCAATCAATGTAATTTAATAATATGTAATAAAACCCGTATAGATTGTTTAATTTAATTTTTTAATAATTTTTGCTTAGAATACCTACTCCAAAAATGTTTAAGATAAGGCACCTAATTGTTTTTTTGTTTAAATTGTTGATAAAAAATGGCAAATAGTCAAACTTCGTAAATTGCTTTGGTGAAATAAATAATTGCGCACAGTGGTATTTATAAGTATAATAAGCAAATAATGCTCAGCCCCCCCATAAATTTCACCAAATTTTCGTTAATGGTTTGTGGTGTACGCACACACTAAAAACGCACTAGCTAGGACATAGTGTAATACAAAAATAATAACAATTTGTACTTATGAATGTTACGATGAAATTATTACACCAACAAAAATTGACAATTCATGCCATAATTATGTGTACTACACGTCATTACACTGAATATATGCGAATAATGCGAACAATAATTTAAGTAATCGTACGCGTGACATCAATTCTATTTCAGACTTACGGTATTGCAATAAATAACGATTCGGTGATTCATAGAAGACCTATTACCATAGGCGGACATTTGGTCGAATTTTTTTTTTTTTTGGGGGGGGGGGGGGGCTATAACAATTCAATGTAAAATAACCCACAGAGACTTTGCCCCCACACTCCCTTCCCGTAAAAACGTAAAACTTATTACCATTAAAAATATAGATATTTTTAAATTGTATTAAAAAAACACTAAATAACGTATATTTAACAATAGTTAATATTTTATTTTAATGACAAATAACTATTTGTATTAGCGAAGATACTCAAAATATCATCGCTTTTTATATTTTTCGATATATCTTTTTCAATATATAGTATTGAAAGATTGCTGAATCTATTTTGAATCAACAATGTCCTTAACCAAGTTTTTATTTTTTTCATTGCAATGAAATTTCTTTCGCAAGTAGCCAAACTATGTAATTGGTATTGTTAATGCTATTTTCAAAATTTTTTTATTATTTCTTATTTACGATTTTCAAAAAAAATGAACAGATACTTATAAATAAATTATAAAAAACAACGAATACAATTTCTAACAAAGTTTCGATTTTGAGGGGGCTATTAAAATATTTAGGGGGTTTAAGCCCTCCTGATAGCCGCCTAAACCTATTACCTATTCAATTATAATAATACTTTTGAGATAATTTTAAAAATAGTATCCCAGTTGTTTACATTCAAACATTCAACATACCATACCATTCATGCATACATGTCAATATGATATATCGCTATTGTTTTTATTTAGATACATTGAGATTTATTAACAATTTTGTATATTATTTGTGAAACTATTCCTGTGAATAATAATTTTACTATTAAACAACTAATGACAAAATTGAAATAACCACAAAAAATACATACAAAATGATATGTCACATAAAGATTGTAAATTAAAAAATTATTCGGGTTTCGGGTTAAAACCAATAATTTATTTGGGTTTTGGTTCATTCGGGTGTTTTAAAAAAAAATCATTCGGGTTATATGGGTTTTGGGTGTTTCATTTTTTAAGGGTTTTTAGGGGTGTTACGGGTTCGGGTTAATTCGGGTGCAAAGCCCTGGTTAAAATTCTATTTTGTAATGTGTATTTATATTTTTTGTGACGTAAAATCATTTTATTTTTATTTTAATATAAAAGAAAATCATGCTAAAAATGTTGTATCCAATATTTAACTCTCAAATTAAAAAACTGAAATTAAATTATAACACGTTTTGCAAACACCTCACTAATAAAAAATGTATATAATTCTATAAATTAAATTTACCAGATTTATTTGTGATGGCCGTTAGATTACATGTGATTTAGGAAAAGAATCCATCAAATTAAACCAAGGTACTGTAGGCTTATAAATAGAATCGGTTCCGGTTTCTAAAAATAATGAAAGGTATGATATATAATTAAAAATCATTACTTATCTAATATAGATTAGATACCTGAATGTTTTGATGCAATCAATTTTTTTACCTCTTGGCAATAAGCAGAACGCATATTATTAATTTTTGCCTTTGCTTCGTTTACACCAAAATTCTCTATGGCCATTTCATTGCATATTTTTTCAAGCGCTATTTGTCTTGCATGTTTGTTTTTATATTCAGGCACAATTGTATTCCATAGAACTTCATGAATTTCATACAAATGAATAAATTTCATTGTTTTGTCTTCAGACTATTTTTTTCTGCCATTATAATATTAAATACAAATAAAAAATTTAATTGAAAAAAAGTATATACCAAAAATATTATTGTATTGAATAACTTATAAATTTAATATTTTAAACAACAAAACGTAATAACAATATATTTATTGCTCAATTCACTGAATGAAAACAAGTCATATTAAAATAAAAATATAAAAATGTTTTCCCCACGTATGAGAATTTTGATACATGTCCGTGCCGGCACCGATCGGACAACGCGACTTGTATGAGCTTGTCCCACGTACGTGTGACATGTTTATATTATCACAGTAGAATCCGTGCCACTGATTCATGGTTCACGGACGTGGCTACTTTGATAAGTGTAAACCAGCCTTTGGAAGTTTGCCTATGGAAGTTCCAAATATAGTACGTATTTGGTTTTAGTATACACACGTTACTCATACGCTGAATAGTCATTACTTCCTCTTGGAACTCGTAAAGTCGTAACTACTTATAAAATAATGAAAATCATCAAATTAATATTACATGGAAAACAATGTTGTTAACTGAAAATATTTTTTTTGTATTCTGTATTCATCCTGATACATACAGAGCAATTTTCATTTTTTTTTTTCTGTAACATTATAGTGATTTACTGTCATTAAATATTTTACATTATTTGTAAAAACTGCTTCATGGTACACTACATTACTACAATAAACATTAAACACCAAGGTACTTATTAATAATAATGATTATAATCAGGGACGTATTTAAGAGGTGGGCCCATGGAGCCCGTGCCCCTCCCCCCATTCACCGTATTTTATACTTTATTTATTATTGTAGGCCTTTTTTCATGCACAGGCACACGGTGAAATACTGGAATATCAATACATCATGATAATATGATACCGTCGATTAAATGGATTATCATTATATACACCACGAATACACCTTAATATACACCCTGAAATAATTATAAAACCTAAAGAAGTAGTTGATACATATTCTAATAAACTCCCCAGACGTCTTCAGTTATTGTAATTACAAAAATTATATTTAAAAATATGTTTTATAATAAATTTGTATAATAAAAGTTTATATTTCTATCAAACACTTGTATTTTGATTATTTGGTTATGAATAACGACAGTGTTGTTGAGATGGAAAAGTAATAACTATGTATACTTTGAACTTTTTGTTTGTACCCCCCCCCCCCCCCCCCCCCCCCCCCCCCCCCCACAATAAGACATTTCTAAATACGCCCCTGATTATAATTGAGTCTTTATAGACATTATTAGAATATGAAATATTGACCAAAAAATAACATTTTTTGAAAATATCTTTTTTTTATCTAGATAAAAATGAAATTATCTTTTATCTTTATCTAGATGAATTTGGATTCCTAGTTTCTTTCGGGATGGCATGGGCATGCCTCCGGGCACGTCCCCAGGTTGCGGATAAGGAAAAGTACTGCAGATATGCAGAATAGCCGCGAAATAAGCCATACCATCAGGTTGGACGAATAAGCGGTCGCGGACAAGCCCACCACCAGTGGTACGATCGACTGCCGGTGCTGATCAAGCTGATCAAACAAGAAAAATGAACAGTACAAATACCAATACGGTGTCTCGTCTTGAGGCCCTTCTACTGGGAGGGGTCGAACCTCACGAGATGGCAACTGGGGGTGGGCTCGCCCTAAGGGTCATATCAGCAAGCCTGAACCCAACTGAGAGGGTGTCCAGCGTGGCCCTCTCAGTCGGTAATGCAACTGCTGAGACAGTCGTGTCCAAGAGCACACACCGGAAACTGGCCCCAGATGGAGTTAGAAGAAGCCACGGAAACGGTCGACAAGTGGTTGGATAACCTAGGCATATAATTGGTGCTACATAAAACAGAGTTACTTACTCTCACCAGGAAGAGGAAGCACAATACCCTGGAAGTAAACTTAAGAGGCCATCGAATAACATCAGGCATGAGCGCCAAATACTTAGGTATTTTATTAGACAGTAAAGTAAATTTCAAACAGCATGCAATAATGGTAACATCGAAAGCGGACACATACATGAAATCCTTGCAGAGGATAATGCCGAACACAAGAGGACCAAGGCAGCAAGCGAAGAAATTACTATCCTTCGTTCCACATGCTGTATTCTTATACGGCGCGTAAATATAGGCAAGTAAAATGTCCCCTGGAGGATGGAAGATCATGAGGACCTGTCAGAGGAGGATTTGCACTTAGGGTAGCCGCAGTGTACCGCACAACTTCCATTGACGTCCTTCTATTAATATCCGATATTCCACCTATTGACCTTCTAGCGCTGGAATGAACAGAGGTCGAGGAAGCGCGTAGGAACGGCAAACATCTGGGAATAGCGAAGGCTGAGGCACGGACAACGCTAGAAAACAAATGGCAAGATAGATGGAGTAATACCGAAAAAGAAGAATGGACGAGAAAACTAATCCCTGACTTGAGGCCTTGGTTAAGGAGAAAGCACGGTGAAATAACTTACCACCTCACCCAGGATCTGACTGGTCACGGGTGTTTTCCAGCGTATCTTAACCGTTTTGGCCTTCTGCAATCTGCAGAATGTTGTTTTTGTGCACACCACACAGACTACAGTCACCACACATTGTTCAAGTGTGACACGTGGCACCAAAAAAGAAGAATACTTCACTCAGAAATTGGAGACATAACGTCTGACAATATGGAAAGCAATATGATGGTGTCCAAGTCCAAATGGAAAATGGTAGAGGATTTTGTAACGGAGATAACGAAGAAGAAAGACGACGAAAGAAAAACGAATAGGAATCAGTATAAGTTGCAATATAGGTCGAAGACCATATCAAGGGGGATAGAGCCCCCCAAACAATTTTAGTTTATTTTAAATGTAAAATTATAGCTGTAAATTATTTTATTATTATAAACGATGGGACTGGGGGGGGTTACATGAGGAAACTCAGTACCACCCTCCAATCCCAGTTTCACAATGTAATAAAAAAAAAAAAAAGAAAAAAAAAAAAAAAGATGGATTTGGATATATTATCTTTCATCTTTATCTAGATAAATTTTGCATTATCTATTTCCAACACTGATTATAATAGAAAACAATTGAAAATAATATTACATAAAAGCTGAACATCTTGGGTCCGTGAATGGAAAATTTTGTAGCGTATTTTGGATGAATTTGATTTTGATTTTCAATAATCTTCCCAGATCTCGTGTCTAATGTTTTTTATCATCTCGATCAATCATTGACATCCGCGAATCGACCTTTAGAATGTAAAAATAAGCAAAGTATTAAGAACAAAAACTAAAATTAAATTATTTCCGTATAATAATTGCCTAGAAGATATGATTTTCAATATAAAATAAATTAAATAGAAACAGGTAACCTCTACGGCTGAGAATAATCATGACTGATGAGTTATAATTTTCAATTTTCTTTATAGAATACTTTAATACTTATTTTTTTGTCGATTTTCCTTTGAACTCTTATTATTAAGTTATTAAAATCTTGATTAAATTGAACTTTTGTAATATCTTAAATTAATTCGACAAAAATTCAAATTTCTCTAATGTCATTGACATTATCCACTTAATATTTTCAAGATAATTTAATTTAAGTAAAATTGATTCAATGAGATTAAGTTAAAATACAAAAAACGGAAAATTAATTTGATTTTAATTATTGGGTGTGCATATAGGTATAAGTGTGTATACGATTAAAGTTTATGAAATTGTATAGAGAAGTAAATACGATTTTACTTCTATAATAAACTGAAAATTTACAAAAGTTCATTATCATTATTATTGTTACTAATAATATGATCCTGAATACGAAATATAATACAATTTAGAGTGGACATTTTCACAGTTTCTATTAAAGAAACACTCAGAACGATAATTTTTTTCCATTGTATTATTACTAATATTTTTGTTGAATAAAAAAAAAATGTTATTCTCTGATTACATTTCGCACACAAATTTTTCTTTTTTTTTTCGCTATCCTCGGATAATAAACATCTACTGGAAAAAGAAATTGAAAAACATACCAGACAATAGAGCTGACAAGTTGACATATGCTGTGTCTTACAGAATATAATTTAATTTATATTATATATATCTTTTGTAGTATTTAATTTTATTCAGTTAAAACTTTTTATTCGAATATTATGAAGAGTTGAAAAATGTTTATAAAATTTACTTGTACGTTAAACACGATACTACGTTATTGAAAATTTAGTCATTCAAATATTCCGTGCACTTATTACATAAAGCATACTGCGTACATGTGGTAGCATGTAACACATAAGAAAAATAATATACAATACGGATATTTTAAAATAAGAACCATGAATATTTTATAATTTTAAATTTTTATAATTGATTCTATCACATTTCTTGTGACATGGTGAATACCTTGGTATCGTATAATAACCGAAATAAAATCTGACATAATTCCTAAAATGTTATTGTTTGGTCTCAAACAATTTTGTTCGATTAACATAGTGTTATATACTCAATAGTTGAGTGTTCGTAACTTTTTCTCGATTGATTATTAAAGATACGTTTTGTATACCACGGAAGACTCCGTATAATCGGATAATTTTTAAATTCGAGATATAATTATAATATATAAATAAATTAACAAATAGCTTATTTATTAATTTATGCTATTGATTTTTAATTTAATTTTTATTTTATTATTATATTATATGTTATTTTTAAATTTTAATCACAATAAGCCAGTAGAATGTTGAAAATTGAGTGAATCCGCAAATCATATACATGCAATTATTATAACGATAATTATGTAGATTTACGGTAATCTATAGAATAATTCATTAATTTTCCCGAGCGTGTGTAGGCAATGCCTTTAAACCTCAACGTTTGGTTTTGGTTTATAAGGTTGCTTTAAACTGTTATTATTATTAAAGTTATTTTTTTTTCGTAGGGAACAATAAACTTGTATGAGGAGGTTATTAAAGTAAAAACGGAAGGTTTCCAGCTCACCGATGAAAATGAATAAACTAAAAAAAATTTGAAAAAAGAAAAAATGCCATTTACGATTTGTTTGCAAATAAAATCGTCATGGAATCGTTGAAATATCTACCGAATACAGACCCATGTTATGCTCATGAAAACCAACAATTGAAGTTGTTTTTTTTTTTTTTTTAATGAACAGAAAATAATATTAAATAACACATTATTTCCCCAAGGCTATTATTTCATAGGTTCATAAATACATATACGTATATATATGTAATAGTATAAAAAAATCACCCTCGGTTTGGTACACTTTTGAATTGACATGTTTATTACACTGGAAACGAGCTTTATAATGCCATACAATGTCATGTTTACGTGTACGTCGTGAAACACGTTCGTTTAAATCGAAGGCCTACGAAAAACGATATTTTACCGGGTACGATGTAACATTTTCAATAGAAAAGTGGGGGTGCGTTCAAAAAAAAATTAATGATTGTTGACGCATAACCGTATAGGTGGGAAATTCATTCGCAGGGTATTCGAAACACAAACGATTTTATAACACCACGCGCACGTAAACCTGGTGTTCTACATGCACCTACACATACTGCATCCGGTTATTATATTGTATCAATAATATATTGTCATCACGGGAAAATTTGAATCGTTTCAGTTTTCCGATTAAACGATGTGTAAAATCCGGTGGTTTCAAATTTGATAATTATAATATTACGTCCGTAGTTTGCCACTCGTTCCAAACACATTTTTACTGCACGCAACAACCGAAACGAATTCGGCAAAATGAAACGATCAACGAAGAGTTCGTCACAATGTAGCGATCCGGGTAGTCGTTGTTATTGTTGTTGTAGTGTCCACGTTTCGTATGCTCGGTTTCCCGGTAAAATCCTATCCTTTACCGGGGCTGTAGAAATCCCAGAATTTATATTTTTTTTCCACGGGTAATTGAATCCCTGGAATTTTATACCTAGAGTTACAATATTGGGTTGGAAGGTAAGATTTGACTGTTTAACCAGCATCATACGCGACTCGATACAGGATTGACAGTTCTTTTTGTAGAGCGATATGTTTCTTTAGGGAAAATGTCAGTATGGCATCATAATGTAACTGCTGCTGTTGCTGTAACTCCCAACCAGAAATATATTATAAGGGTCGCAAATCCGATTAGCGTTTGCGTCCGAATTTCGGTCACACATTTAACGTCTTCGTGAATCTATTAAATCCGTGTAGCTGACTTACATGTTTATTATGTGAATTAATTACGCGTGTCAGTGTGGTGTTACATAAGACCACCACCAGTCTAATATCATATAACATATTTTAATTTTTTTTTATTATTCTTATACGTTTATGGCGTTCGAAGTTGAACAAAATATACCGATTATTATAAAAGTCCAATATTTCTTTTCTAAAGCGTGTGTTTTTGTTGCACATTTTAATAGGGGTAGATCTGAAATAATAACTGGTTATGATAACATTGTGGTTTAGAACGTTTTTGAAAATAAATAATCGAACGAAAATGGTTCCTTTGTACTCTTCTGTTCTCTTTGCATTATTATTATAATTTATCAGAATGAAAAAACAAACAATTTCCCTTGTATTACAATACAATATTCATTCGTGTTAACGGACTGCACGAAAATTTGCCTAAAACATAGTCATGGACTGCACAAATTTCGGAAACAACAATAATTATACGTAAACAAAATAATGAAAATCGAACAGTTTTTCAGCGTCACCGCGTTGGTGGTGAGTGTGATTCGTATCGGATTAACAGTAGCAGGGCACTATACTCGTATAATTATTTCGAACCGTAAATAAACAATTTATTAATAAACCCCGAAGGGTCTGCTAATTATTTCCTCCGAATCGCTTTTCGTTACAAATAATGCGGCGCCGAAAGGTAATGACCACCGGAGGAATAATGAACCGACTGATGTTATCGTGTAAAAGGTGCACTTCGAGGATAAGCCGCAATTCCAATAGGCTTATGTGATATCGTTGTGATCAAATGAATCGGTGTTTTCGTTCCAACATATGGAATAATTAGTAAGAAAATTCTCACGTGGTTATTATGCTACCTATGACTACACGTTAACCGCGATGCATGCAGCGTTGCTCACGCAAAACTCAAAATTCCGACGAAAAAATATATATTGTTGAGCATATTTCGTTAGACAATGTCAAGCGTATATTATTGTAATACCACGTACGGTTAAAATTTTTAACGTAAACATATCAAATCGTTTCTCATCACAATTATGTGCCATCGCACGTGCGTCGTCAATGGCTTACGAGAAAAAAGGATTTGTCATTTAATTGTTTTTATCTGTAAAAAAAAAAATTCATGCTCCATTTTTCGCTTTTGTGTAAACATAAATATATTTTACTTTTTTTTTGTTCTACGATATGGTTTTGCAATCTATCATTGTATTATTTTCCCCTTACTCTTTACCAATACGATGGTACCTTGCAAATAATGTTGGGGAGTAATAAATCATTTTCATACTTTGTTTTAGTAGAAATCTGATCATTATGTGGTACAAAAATGCGTGTATCACGAGTACCTTACGCTGGATTTTATTCGAAATTGTTTTTATGTAAGTACTATGTCTAAATTTGAATATGGTTATAGTTTCATGATTCGTAAACGAATGTGTGTTGCTGAAAACACACGCGCGCTCGCGCCCGCACGCGAATACAAAACTTCGCTAAAAATATCAACTAATTACTATAAAAAACGTATACGTATAAAAAAAAAATCATTTAATTTCGTGCTATAGAATAAAATACCTTCGTAACCGCTTTTATAATTGTAGAAAACTAAATAGTTAAACAACTTAATTAAACTATGCGGTAATTTGATGTATTTACTATAAACTACAACAGTGTGATATAAATACGAACATT